AAGCTTCATGACACTGGATTTAGCATTAATTTCTTGTACATGGTACCAAGAGTACAGGCAACAAAAAAAATTAGATAAGTTGAACATGAAAATTAAAAATTTGGTGCATCAAAGGACACTGTCCACAGGGTGAAAAGGGAAACCACAGAATGGGCAAAAAAAAAAAATTGCAAATCACATACCTGATCAGGGATTGGTATCCAGAATATACGTATAAAGAGCTCACACAACTCAACAACCAAGACAATTTTTTCAATGAGCAAAGGACTTGATTTGACATTTCTCCAAAGATGATATGCAAACGGCCAATAAGTACATGAAAAGATGTTCAACATCATTAATCACTAGAGTAACGCAAATCAAAACCACATTGAGATTACACTTCACACTCATTAGAATGGCTATCAAAGAGGGGAAGAAAAAAACAGAAAATGACAAGTGTTGGTGAGGATGCAGAAAAAGTGGAAGCTTGGTGCATTGCTAATGGGAATATAAAATTGTGCAGCCACTGTGCAAACCAGTAAGTGGTTCCTCAAAAAGTTAAAGATTGGGCCGGCCGAATGGTACATTGGTTAAGAGCTAGCTTGGGACGCCAGCTCTGAGCAGCAGGGCCCCAGTTTGGATCCCACATTAGGGCCAGTGACGCTGCACCCTCTACAGCTAAGATGATGAACAACAGCTTGACCTGGAGCTGGGCTGCCGTGAGCTACGGCCACAGTGTAGGCTGCAATGGAGCTACAGTGGGCTGCCATAAGCTACCGTGAGTGGCTGTCAGCCAGCGTGAGCTGCCAAGAGCCTCTGAGTGGCCGTCCAGAGACCAGCGACCAACTTGCCTCACTGGGAAGAACGCAATGATAATACCAACATGGGCCAGTGGAGCGACATCCTCCACAACTAGACTGAAGAACAAAAGGAGAGCATGTTGTCTGTTCCCCTTTCCCAATTCCCCAATAAAATCTTTAAAAAAAAAAAGTTAAAGATTTATCATATGAGTCAGCAAATTCACTTCTAGGTATTATATGCAAAATAATTGATAACAGGGACTTGAACAGATATTTGTATACCAATATTCATAATGGCATTACCCACAATAGCCAAGATGTGGAAACAATCTAACTGTCCATCAACAGATGAATAAACAAAGAAAACACAGTATACTTGTAGATAATGTGTTATAGAATTTACACTTGAAACCTATGTAGTTTGATTGACCATTGTCACCCAATAAGTTTAAAAAAAAAGTCTCGAGGTTTGCTTTCTTCATCTTTCCTATATCATTTTTGGTAGATTGAGGCCAAAGTATTACTGCTAAAAATTTAAAATTCCAAAACCCAGTTCCTAAAAGGGATACACTTAGAAGCTGAAGAAGATGAAAAGGAAAAGACTCCAATATGACCTACTGGATTTTATTACTCCGGATTCTCCAGAGATACAGAACTAATAAGATTTATACATGGAGACTTTTCTTAAACCTTTAAGAAAACTTTAAACTTTATTGATGTATGATAGACATAAAAAATGGTACATATGTAATATATACAACTTGATGAGCTTGGAGACAAGTATATACCCATGAAACCATCACCATAATCTATATTGTATACTTAAGAATTTGCTGAGAAGGTAGATCTTATGTTAATTGTTCTTATCACAAAATAATTATAATAACAGTAACAATAAGAAGAAGAAGGTGGTGGGAAACTTTTGGAGGCAATGGATCTGTTTATGGCCTAGAAGGGGATTTGTTATAAGAAATTGGCTCACGTGATTCCTTAGATGGAGGCTGAGGAAAGCAGTGGTGTGAAGGCCTGAGAACCAGGGAAGCCAGTGGAGTAAATCCCAGTTCAAGTGCAGAAGACGACCAATGTTCCAGCTCATGCAGTCAGGCAGGGAAGAAGAAATGAACCTCCCTTCCTGTGCTTTTTGTTCTATTCCAGCCCTCAGCCCACCGGATGAGGCCCCCCCACACTGGGGAGAGCAATGTGCTTTACTCAATTCACCAATTCAAATGCTGATTTCACCTGGAAACATCCTCACAGACACACCCAGAAATAATGTTTAGTCAAATATCTGGGCACCCTGTGGTTCAGTCAAATCGACACATAACATCAACCATTGTAGGATTCCTTTCTCTAAAATATTATGGGTAGAGTCTATTTTAAGAATACCCTTAAAGGAGATAAGTGACAACTCTTGGCACAGAGCCTGACAAACATTAGGTAATTTATTAATGTTTTCATTCATTTATTAATATATGTAATTGGAAATTCAATGTAAATGTCATTTCTTCCAGTGCTTTTTCACATTAATCAGAGGGTAGTAACCTAACACATGCTAAAACTTCACTTTATTTTTATCCACTCGGTGCATCCCTGAAGCAATTGTATATACATCAAATACTGTACATGTATCAAAGGTCATTCATTTATAGACAGAGTTGGTTGCCACTTACCAAAGATGGGAAGAGTATGAGGCGGCTCCCACCCCAACCAAAATAGCCCATTCACCATCTAGCATTTTACCCATTTATTTGTTTTTTAAGTTGCAAGTTTTTCCTGCCTGTAAGTATGCAAGAAGTCTTGCAAGGGGGGCTTTCTTCAGCCCATTAACACAGCCTGTTATATAGTAGGAGTCAATGAAAATGTGTCGGCCTCTTAAGAGGGAGTCTTTGATGCCCCTTTTGATAAAATGACACATGCTATATACCTAAGTATAGCTGAGGAAGGTCACAATTCAGGGAAGGAAAGACGTACCAATAAAAAAAGCAGATGGCTTCAAAAGTATGATTTCCCCAATTTCACCATTTTGCCAAGAAACAGTCCTAAATCAATATCATGGTTCTGCTCTTGCTAGCTTTCTCTGGCTTAACATGTATTCTAGAGTGTATTGTATTCAAATGCAACACTGTGCCCAGGGATACACCATTTGTTGTTTCTTAGATGAAATGGGTGTTTCCCTCCATCTCCACCACCACAGGACCCTTCCACCCATCAAACTGCAACCATAGGGAACTTTTCAAAATTCAGATATGATCATTTCATTCCTTGCTCTTGGAGTAAAGTCCACAAGTCCCTAAGTGAGCCTGCAAGGCTCCCTGTGACCTCGTTTCTCCTGAATTCACCAACTGCATCTCTCACTAAGCCCCTCACTCATGCTGCAGTCACTCGCTTCTCTCAGTTCCTCAAGGCATCCTGTTTCACAGGTCCTTGCATTTGCAACTTCTTCTATCTGTAACAGTCTCCCCAACCCATGACCATGGCATACTTATTCTTTAAGCCTCAGCTTAAATGTTAGTTCCTCAGGGAAGCCTTTTTTGACCACACCAAACTAGGTCAGAACCCTGTTATACACTATAACAATATCCTATGCTTCTTCTTTTGTTCCACTTTCCAAAATCATATTAAAAAATAATTAACTGTGTAATGGCTTAATATCTGTCTATGCCCCAGGTTCTAATCTCCAGGAGGAACCATGTCTATCTTACTTGTTACTACATTCTGGGCCTTGGTATTATGTCCAGTAATAGTAGATTGTCAGTAAATATTTGCTGACATGATGAATAAGATTGACTCTCCATGAAGCTGTTTCCCAGGTAGTATTTCTAGCAGATATGGAGGTCACTAAAAGGTGGCGGTCAAATTCATAGTTATCTGTCTTCTGATAATAAAGTAAATGTTCAACAGGAGATAGAAGTAGATAGTGATTTTCATTATGGGAGAATAGAAAACAGCCTGAGTTAATTGAGGCAGATGGTCCATGAACAATGCTTCAGAAATAAAGCAGAGCTTCTGACCTTTGGTGACCAAGAAATATTTCAAGTTATATATTGGACTCAGTTCGGCTGTACATCAACATCAAATTGTTTCCAGTAAGTACTGCAAATCATTACCTCTCTCTTTTATTCTACAGTGTATTGGTCCTCTAAGCTATCTTGGGAAGTAGGCTAACAAATTGTACATTTCCCCTTCATCTCCCCTCTATTTTTTCCCATTCACCATCTAGCATTTTACCCATTTATATTTTCCACAACAAATGCCTAAATTGGATATGATTGATGTTGAGAAAAGCTTTTTTTCGTCAAGGCTGACTTCCACCTCAGTACCCACAACCAAAGAATGTGACTGCCCTTACTATGAAAACAGTAACTATCTTTTTGTAATTATTCAAAGTGCAAAAATTAGGGCCAGCCAAGTGACACGTTGGTTAGGAGTTGGCTTGGGATGCCAGCTCTGAGTAGCAGGGCCTCGGTTCGGATCCCACATGAGGGCCAGTGATGCTGCACCCGCTACAGCTAAGATGGTGAACAACAGCTCGACCTGGAGCTGGGCTGCCCGTGAGTCGCCGGTGACAGTGTAGACTGCAGCCCCTGACGCAGTGGGCTGCCATGAGCTACCATGAGTGTCTGGCAGCCAGCGTGAGCGGCCAGCAGCCGGCATGAGCTGCCAAGAGCCGCTGTGAGCTGCCGTCCAGGTGCTGACGATCGATCTGCCTCACTCGGAAAGAGCGCAATGATAATACCAACATGGGCCAGTGAAGCAACATCATCTGCAACTAGACTGAAGAACAAAAGGACAGCCACTTGTTTGTTCCCCTCCCCCAATTCCCCAACAAAATCTTTAAAAACAAAAAAAATTTAGCTTACTAGAAAAAATAAATTAAGTAGCTGAGAAAACATTTAACAATACCCAGGACAGGTCAGAAAAGTAAATTTTATGCTTTATAGCATGTTATAATTTATAAAGTCCTTGGCATTCCATCTCGCTTGATCCTGGCTTTAATCAGAGCAAGGCAGAAATTTTTAAAGATATGAAAACTGAGGCAGAGAATTTCTGGCTCAAGGGCACAGAGCTAATAAATAAATTGCTAAAACCCAAATCTACATTTTTCTGTCCCAATATACCTTTGTAATTATGAGATCTGGTTTGGTGTTAAGACAACAAGGCAAAAGGCCAAAGGATGATTTACAGGTACTTCTGAATTGATGGAGCTCAAGTCTTGCTCTACTTGCAAACCCTCATCCTGTCAAGAGCTGTCTTCAGAGCCTCCTTCACTTCCTTGTTTCTCAGGCTGTAGATCATTGGGTTCAGCATAGGTATGACCACAGTGTAAAATACAGACACGATCTTGTCCTCGCTGAGGGATTTGCCCATATTACTTTTCAGGTATATGAACATGAGTGTCCCAAAGAAAAGAGCCACTGCAATCATATGAGAAGCACAGGTGGAGAAGGTCTTGGCTTTGCCACCGACTGTACGAATCTTCAGAATGGCCCAAATGATGAACAGGTAAGATATAAGGATCACTGAAATGCTGGCTGTAATGACCAAGAAAGCTAAAAGGTAGATCACTTGTTCCCGTAGCCTGGTCTCACTGCAGGCAAGCTTCAGCAGGGGTGGAAGGTCACAAAAGAAGAAGTCCACGTGCTTGGACTTACAGAAGGAGATCGAGAAGGTACACACAGTGCGGATCACTGAATTGAGCATGCCACCAGCATATGCCCCAGCCACCAGCCCCAGGCAGGTCTGTGGTGTCATGGCAGTAGCATAAAGGAGGGGGTTACACACAGCCACATAACGGTCATAGGCCATCACAGCCAAAAGAAAACATTCAGTACTAGCACAGAGTGTGAAAAAAAAGAACTGGGTGGCACAGCGCTCATAGGTAATGACCACCTTATCAGTATCCAAGGTTTCAAGCAACTGAGGGACAATAACAGAGGAGTAGCAAATGTCCAGGAAGGAAAGGTGGCTGAGGAAGAAATACATGGGAGTCTGGAAGCGAGGGTCACTCTGAATCAGCACTATCATGCCCAGGTTGCCCCCCATGGTGATGAGATAAAGGACCAGGAACACAAAGAAGAGACCCACCTGCAGCTCTGCCTGCAGCTGGAACCCCATCAGAATGAATTCTGTCACCACAGTGCCATTCTCTGCCATGTATCCTAGGTTGCTCACTGAAATAAGAAATAAATAGACAAAGTCTCACCGAAGACAAATTAAGGAGCGCATGCTTGATTTGATCATTTTCAGCAATAACAACAATCTTTTGGATTTGTGAGGCACTCTACATTTTTTGCAAACTATGTCATTTGACCTTTCAGAAATCCTTGGAAGCACACACTGCTAATCCCATTTTCAAGAGAAGAATACAAGGGTGAAAGAGGCGAAGTATCTAGTTAGTAAAGAGACAAAGCCAGAACTAGAACTCAGTTCCTTAGACATTTCCAAACTTCTGTTCGGTTCCAAATTGGAGCTCTTCACCAGCCTTGCCAAAGAGGCAGAAAATACCGCTTTGTTGGAGAAGCCCTAGTGGTAGAGTATTAAGGACATTGGCTTTGAAATTAGACCTAGGTTCAAATTCCTGGAGACCTTGGGTAAATGAATTCATCTTTCTGAGCCTCAGTATCCTTGTTGGTTTAATGGGGATGTCAACACTAACGTCACAATATCATTGTGAAAGATAGCTTACATACTGTTCTGAGCACACGGTCTGACTCACACACTTAGAATATTTTTTTTCTAAATAATGCAACAATGTGAGTAACATGCTCCTTGGTTCACGTAGATTTTGGAATCTTATCTCCAAGTCTACAGCCCTGGAGTCCCAATATCAGCCCTATCTTTCTTTGCAGTTCTTTTGATGTGCATATGAACAGAACCGGAGTTGGATGCAAGACTGAGCTGTGAACAGCAAGCACTGTTAGAACCTCTACAACCTGTGACGGGCCAAGTCACTCTTTCTCTCTCTCCCTGCCAAGCAGCATGACCTGGTTTCCAAGTTCTCTTATTCGACAGGACCTGTCCCATTTTTTTAAAATGCCAGATCAATATCAATTAGTGAGATACATGATTCAAGCCATTCCAGAATTAGCCTGCACAGCTCATTAAGGGACAAAGCCATCACACTAAGTTTAGAATTCTAATACAGCTGGAGCTCTTGCCAGATACTTGGACAATCTTGCCTCTGTACCTGTGGATGCTGATAATTTCAGTAATGGAAATATCGAATGTGCACTTCACACGTGATTCTTCTTGTCCTCCTAACCTTGAAGTAAAAACTGAATTTGAGAAAGATCTCATAGAGTTTTAGAAAACTAAGAAAATGAAACTTTGACAAAAGCTAATCTATTGATGAAATAAAGGTCAGCATCTGGTGTTTTTTCCCCCACTGAATTCCTGATAATGTAAATATTTAGGAGTTGTTGTTTTTTTTCCCTCCTTAGGGCCCAATTTAATCCTGACCTCTGGCCAAGACAATGACTTGCTGTGTTCTAAAAAGAATTCACACAAATCATCCTGACCAAAAGGGAGAAGAAAGGAAAGAGACTATATGTATGTATTTATTTGGTAAGAATCTACTGAGAATGTACCATGTGCCAGGCACAGTTCTGGTTGCTCGGTACAAAATAAAGATCTTTGCCCTTGAAGAGCGGTCATTCTACCAGAGAGCTAAGCATACACAGTATATTTTTTTGAAGTATATTTTCTACTGTGATAGAAGATGATAAGTGTTATGAAAACAATTAAAAAGAGGAAGAAGAAGAACAGCAGGGTGTGGGGAATTGGAAGGGCCAAAGTAGGGAGAGGGGTATTCAATAGGACCTTCAGGGCAGGTCTACTGAAAAGGTGACATTTTAGCAGAAAGGCTGGGATCAGGTAACTATTCACACATATTTGCACATACCATTTATCCACAAACAACATAAAATAAAGACACAAATCACAAGCAATGAGCCACCACATGTCTATTACAAAATATACAGAGTTCTTCAGGTCCTTGTGAGATACTTCCAAGGCAACTTTGTTCAGAAGTGTCATCCTCCATTATAATACAGAGAGAATCCCCTCAGGTATCTCAGAGGCTGGTTGATCACCCTATGATCATTCAGTGTACAGGTAAGGCTAGAATCCCAATGATAGATCACAATGGCTAAGACTATGGGCCCTGAAGACAGACAAAGCTTGTTCCAAACTCAGACTCAATTATTTCTATTCGTGTGACCTTGGGCAATGTACTTGACCTCTTGAGTCACAGTCTCGACATCTACTGCAATAATCACAACAGCACTGCTGTGCTGTGAGAGGCAAAAGACATCATTCATGGAAACATAGGCACTATGCCTAGTACACCGTAAACACTCAATCCAGGGAATTGTTACAAAAGTGATTTTTCAACCACTAGGTAGTTGCACCATTCAGAAATTTATCTCCATGTTCTTGCTGAGTAAAATGAGGCTCAAAGTGGTTAAACCAACTTTCCCAGGACCACGCAGTTCATAAATGGCCCCAGGACTTCTGGCTCCAAATTCTTCATGTTTTCCACCAACCTACACCATGAGTCATCACTTTGGTCGAGAGTAGGAAACTGTAGCCCAGCTTCAGGCAGCCCCAGCCAGAGAGGCATAAGTCAGGAGACCCACTTCATTCCACTGCTCCCCTAAGAGATACTGTGGGGGAAGGCAGCTATTTTCCTTTGGAGGGAAGTGTCATGATGGAGGAGGGGCAGTTGGTTATGATGAGCCAGACAGGCTGGAAACAGCGTTGGAGCCCTGAATTCAAGTCCAGTTTCTGCCACTGGTGTACTATGCAAACTTAATCGACTATCTTCCTGTCTCTGTATCTGTGTCCTCACATGAGGCTGCACTATTGGGTTGTCAGAAAAGTCATGACGTATTTTTCCATATTTTTTGTTGCAAAAATGCGTTGCGGCTTTTCCAACAACCCAAAAAAGGACCTTAAATGCTGCGTCCTGTTCCTTTACATGATGGTTTCTCATCTCCTCTTAAAAGTCCAATGAGATGAAGTACCACATAGAGAATATAGTCAATAATATTGCAATAATTATCTATAGTCGGATGAGCACTAATTGGGAGGATCACTTCATAAATTATATAAATGCCTAACCACTACACTGTACACCTGAAACTAATGTAAAATAATATTGAATGTCGACTCTAATTGAAAAATAAAATAAATAAAAATAAAAAATTGGGAAAAAAGTTCAATGAGAGAGGGGAAAAAGCATGTGTTAATAATAATAATGAAGAATGACATTAAGACAGCATTTATTGTGTGTCAGAAACTGTTCTAGATGTTTTACACAAAGTGCCTCATTTATTTCTCACAATACCTCAACACTGGATATTGTTATTATCTGTATTTATAGACTGCAAAACAGGGACATGCAAGGATTAATTGATCTGCTTTAGGTAAACCACTAAGCTGGGATTTGAACCACGGTCTGTTGGACTCCAGGGCCACACCCCAACAGCTACCCATTGCTCACGAGTATGGTAATAATGAGCTACCATGTACTGGGCACCTTTCTTATGCCTAGAATCTTTTAGCAGCTTCACATACACTACTCTACATTTGGGCAAAGAGGAGAGTAATGTCAGTTAAGTAAAGATTTTGGAAAATGACCCCAATTCTGAGTTGGAAAGGCCTCACATGTTCTCCTTTTTGTGGTATCACCTTTATTTGTTATGTCTCGTCTGCAGGGATGGGAAGGCAGAGGAGATGCACAGGGCTACGATCAAATCAAACTCTAATGAGGAGTGTGCAGCCACCAAGCAACCACCGCCTCTAGTACAGGTTTAAGTGACAAGACCAAAGTCATGTGAACCAGCCTTTCTCCTGTCTCCTCATTAGCATTAGCATTATCTGCTTATCTGTACTTTTCCTTTGCCCAGATCTCATTCCTCATTTTTAATTTATTTTATCTTGCTGCACGGCATGCATTTTTATAAGCCACTTTAAATCTCTTTTGGAAAGAGGTATTGATGAATAAATAAATACAAAATAAAATGGCCTGTTGGCCAAATGCCAGGATAATCAGAATGATCAGCCCTATCAGCATCAGGCCAATAACAGCACTTCCAGAGGACTTTGCCAAATGGGTTCTGGAAAGACAGTGCACACAGAGTGGTTCAACCTATATCAGACTGATCTATGGGTGATGGAGAAAGGCAGACGCTCACGAAAATGGAAAGCTTAGGGAGGTCTCCCTGTCTATGCCACTGTAGCCAGCTCCTGACATCTCCATAAACCCAAACCCCAAGACAGTGACCCCGGCCTCCATATTGAGACAATGAGCAGTATGGAAGGTCTCTTAACTCGTCACACACCTGCGTGTGACCCTTCTGAGTATCAAGTATGCCCATTTTCCAATGGGCAGACAAACAGAAAACCAAGGTTGCCCAGCGTTTGCTGGTCTTCCGGGGAAATGGAAAGTTTGGTTGTTGCCAAGAACAGTTCCACCTTGCCTTGTGATGCGCTGTCTAAATTTCTGAGCTGGTCCAAAATGATTGGTAATTCTAGATAAAACAGCCAGCCCGTTTCCTAATGATTAACATTAGGGAAAACAAACAGCAGCTCCACAAAATCTCCAGGCTCAGGGTAGCCTCAGAGGAAACTATTTGGTCCCAGGCAATTTAGATAAATGAAGTTGCTAGGAAAATATGAACAGAACAATGAAGCAGCAGTTTCCTGTTTTTGAAACCCACAAAATAGTTGAAATTGCTGGCTTTTAAGGATGCACAGGAAGAAAGTGAATCCTTAATGCCATCATGAACCCACCAGGCTCCATGGTATTGAGCAATGTCAGCATTTCACATTCTCAGAGATCTGTTATCTAATTGTTGGTGAGGCACAGAAATACTTCACTTCCAGACAGGCCTCCCCTAGGCTATCTTTCTCCCACATCTGCTCAAGACCCACAGCGTCATTTTTATATCAGCCAATGGTAAACACACCTAGGACATGTGATTCTCACACATTATGAAGCTAAAGGAGAAAGATCCTGAGATCGTCTGTGCTTTAAGATTATTAATTCTCCCCCAAACCTCCACTAAACCTCAGAAAACTAACAGGGGTTTCAGAAGAGAGAAAGCCCAGCAGGCTTGGTATTTAATAGGCTCCCCCTATCATCTTAGGGT